AACATCCCAGTAAAATAACAACAGAAGACTAAACCAATGAACAACCCATTCCTAAAATGACAGGACCAAAATACCACCCATGTATATTTAACTCTGAATGTAAATGGCTTAAGCTCAATCAAATGTCATAGATTTGTAGACTGGATTAAAAAACAAAACCAGGAGACTAAAAGAAACACATTTCACCAACAAAAACCAGCAGAAGCTCTATATCTCATATTTTGATGTTTTTGTTTTTGTTAGTTTCATCTCTTTAAAACTCTTCTGATTGAATTATTCAATGACTCATAGATCATAGAGTAGCATCATTTTCTTTGAGATTTCTTGATTTTCTTTTTCACTTCTTCAGTAACACATTAGTCAATTAGTAGCATGTTATTTAACTTCATGGTTTTAATTTTTTCTTTCAGTTGCTGATTTTGTTTTGTGGCTTTTCTTTTAAGGGAATGTATAGTAGCTGTGTAATAGACTCTGTCATATCTAGTAACATGTTATTTATCTTCATGGCATAGCAAATTTTTTTTCCTATTGTTGATTTTGTATTGTGACTTTTCACTAAAAGAGATGTACAGTAACTGTGAAATGGAGACTAACATATCCACTTGTGAGGATAAAATGTATTATGCATCTCTACTTCCAGACAAAGATGGACTTAAAATGAAACCGTATACTATGTTTTGACAATAAGATGCTAGACTCTCTGCCATTGTCCATGCCTGCAATGATGGACATATGACTGTGTAAGAACTACACTGTAGTAAGGATATAGGGAAACTCAGGAGTGGGGGGAGGTGGGATAGGGAGGGGATAAGGAAAATCCCAGGAGACTATGGACCTGTATCATAAAATGATAATAATAATAACAATAATAAATAAAAATTTTTTAAATTTTAAAAAATCGTTCTACAAACTGTCAAACCTTTTTGTTTATTTGAAATGCAGCACTAGAGAAGAGAAGCAGAGAGGCAACCCTGCACCAGTCAGTTCACCTTCCCCATTGACTGCAACAGTCTAGGTTTTGCCAACAAGAAGCCAGGAACCTGGAACTCCTTCTTGATTTCCCTGGTGATTGGCAGAGGCCCAGGTATGTGGGGCATCTTCTGCCTCTTTTCCATAGGGAATGCTAATGTTTAGCAGATCCTTAACTCAGTGCACCAAATACCATCACCAACGGTAAATTCTTACACAAATTGCTGTTAATATTTCCAGACCATGAGCACAAGAGAAAATATCTTGGACTAGGGAACGGAGAAGTAGGTCATCTAAGGGCTGAGTACCCCCTCAGTTTCCCTGCTGCATTCCTGAATAAATGGCTGAGACACATCTCCTGTGACTCATCTTTTGGAAGATTCTGACTGATGAATCCCCTCTCTCCCCAGGATCCAGAATGTGTGGTTATAGTTCAAGGGTAATATCCATTTTTGTGGGCCACATCAAATATAAACCTTGCCACAAAGTCTGCTTTCATTCATCATAAACCAGGATCCTGACCACCCAAGGAACATGAGACAGTGAGGACAAGCTGAGAGGCCTCTGAGAGACAAGGGCCATAGGTGGATATAGGTGATCTAGGGCCGCTATATTGACCTGGAACAGGCACACTTCCCATAGGAGGACCCAGCATCCTCGCACGGGGACACCTTCTTGGGAGAGGTGAGCTGGAGCTGGTCTGTGAAAACCCAGTGGACCTTCCAAGACTGTCAAAAGGAATTAGAGGGTGGCTTCAATTAAGAGCAAAGTCATCAACTATGGTTCTGGGGTCTGTACTGGAGAGCAAGAATCTGAGAGTTGGAGTAAGCAGGACCCCATCCTGGTAAGGAACATGCAACTTGAGGGACCAAGAAGGCTCAGTGTGAGAAGCCCATGGCCAGGGTGTTGCATAGGAAATTAGTAGAAGGAACTCTAAATGAGTGTCAGCAGGGTGGTCCAAGGTCGGCCACCCTCAACAGACAGGTTGGGATTTCTGACCCATGCTTTAAACGTTTAAAGTGTAATTCCTTCTATGCTTGGTATATGCTTACAATGAAAGAACCTCAACTGAACTTGAACTGTGGCAATGCAGCAAGGTGGAGGAATCCACCATGCGGGGAGGGTTGTGGGAGGGTTAGGGGGGAATCCCGGTGCCTACAACTGTGTCACATAACACAATGTAATAATAAAAAATATAATTCCCTTGTCCAGACCAGCATTCAAATACTGATACACGTATAGATATATCTTTTAGTCTCTTTAAGAAGGCTCAGAGTGAGAAGCCCATGGCCAGGGCGTTGCATAAAGCATCTAGGAAATCAGCAGTAGGGACTCTGAGTGAGCCTTCTCACAAGCCCCCAGGCCTGACATCATCCCCTTTGACAGGCAGGTTAGGATTTCTGACCCATACTTTTTAAAAATTTTAAATGTAATTCTTTTGTCCAGACCAGTATCCAAACAAAACTACCAATACACTTTGTAGATATGACCTTTACTCTCTTTAAGTCTATTAGTTCCCCTTTTCCCCAGAAACCTCATTGGTAATGTGGTTTTGATGGATGTCTAGTCATGTTTAGAGTTTATTTGTACTCAAGGTGCAGAAATAAATTTTACTATTTTCAGTGGAATTACATCATGTGCTTGTACTGATTTTGAGCTCAAAGCAAACATTACCATGCTTTTATTTCCATTCAATCCTGCTATCTTTATCAGGAAAAAAAAAAACTAATTTTACAGGTTGAAAATATCACATCTTAATAGCTTAAGCATAATTATTTGTTTCATCCGATCTTGTGTATCCATTTCCATATATATCCAATTATACATACTAGGTTCAGAATAATGAACTAACAATATCAACATAATTCACAAATCCAAGATCTATTTGTGATTGCTTTTGTCGTTAGGGTACATCCTACTGAGGATTACAAACAAATTACTGTACATAAATCTTACTTATTTTCATCATATTTGCAAGACAAAAGAGAGAGAAAGAGAGATCCCTTCCATCTACTGGTTTATTCTCAAATGCCTGTAACAGGTAGGGCAGAGCCAGGGCAAATCAGGAGGCAGCAAAGCCGGGTCTCATGGGACTTACAAGGACCCAGTGACCATCACCTATCACGTCCTAGGAGCCACAAGGGGAAGAGAGCTGGAATCAGAAGTGAAGTCAGGACTCAAGCATTGGATGCGGGATGCATGCATATAGGTGTCACACAGCTGCTGGCACTGAGCGCTCACCACAGATGTCTACTTTTAATCACCCCTGTCTGAGTGTAGCTGTCAACTCCACACACATACCATTTAGCCTGCATTGTGATGTATTTACTTGGTACTAAAGTAAAATGTACAAGCCAAAATATGTCCAGAAGGGCTGACTAGCATCCCTTCATCTGTCTTTTCCTTCCCATCAGGGAACTGTTTGCTAGCCTTTGCATTGTCCTTTAACCTAAAACATAATTATAGGTAAATAAATAAGTGTATTTTTTAATTTAACAATTCATCTTAAAAGTCAAGAATCTGTTGAACTTATCTTGACAATTAGATGCTGGACTCTATGCTTGATATATGCTTGCAATGAAAGAACCTCAACTGAACTTGAACTTTGGCAATGTAGCAAGATGGAGCAATCCACCATGGGGAGAGAGTTGGGGGAGGAGTAGGAGGAATCCCAGTGCCTAAAAAACTGTGTCACATAATGCAATGTAATAATAAAAAAAAGTCATTCTATATGGAATGGTGTGGTAGCACAGAAAGATAACCTTTCACCTGCTAGCATCGACATTCCTTATGGGAGCCAGTTATGTGCAAGCTGTCCCATTTCCAATTCAGTTTTCTGCCTATGACCTGTGAAAGCAGCAGCAGATGGGCTTAAGCCTCTGCACTCACGTGGAAGACCCAGAAAAATCTTTGGGTTTCTGGCTTCAGATTAGCTCAGCTCTGGCCATTTCAGCCTTCCAGTGGAAGAACCTGGGGAACAAAGACTGTTTTATATCTCCTCTTCTCTCTATAAAACTATCTTTCATAGAAAAATTAATAAATCCTTAAATATTTTGGGAAAGAAATCATTCCATAACAATATGCAGATAGTCCTAAAGTGCAAAATGCATAGAAGGCACAGGGAATTCAGACTGGACTTGATATGAGGTTGGGGAAGACAGAACTGCCAGCTGAGGAATAGAGAATCAAGAGTTGAAGAAAGTATATCAGGGATGGGGAACAGGCTCAGAGCTGCAACTGGGAACACATCTAACATGATCTAGGAGGGTCAGGATCATTGAAGTTGATGTGATGATTCTTTTGGACAATCCTCTGTATGCAACTGCCAGCATCTCTGGTTGTTGACTTATGTCCAGGCTGCTACACTACAATCCACTGACTTGCTTATGGCCTGTGAAAAAGTGGATGATGAACAAAGGCCTTTGAATTCTGTACACATATGGGAGACCTGGAACAAGCTTATGGCTCCTGGCTTTTCAGCTCAGCTCAATTGCCACCTGGGAATAAACCAGTGGATGGGAGAACTTTCTCTGGCTGTGCCTTCCTCTCTTTGTAAAATCTACCTTTCCAATAAATAATACCCTTTAAAATGATTCATTCATTTCTATTGGAAAGGCAAATTTTCAGAGAGAAGAAAAAACCAAGATCTTGCATCTGGTGGTTCACTCCCCATTTGGCTGCAATGGGTAGGAGCTGAGCCAATCTGAAGCCAGAAGCCAGCAGCTTCTTCCCGGTCTCCTATGTGTGTTCAGGGTACCAAGTGTTTGGGCCATTCTCTGCTGCTTTCCCAGGCCACCAAGCAGGCAAATGGATAAGAATACGTGCCCATATGAGATCTCAGGGGTTGCATCGCAAGGACTTAGCCACTAGGCTACCGGACCTGGTCCAAAAATAGCTAAATCTTAAAAACAGACAAAAATAGAGTGGAGTCACTCACATCATACCTCAGTATTGTGGAAACCTGGTGTCAACCCTATCGCCCAGTGAGGTGGTGGCCCCAAGGAGTCGCAGAGGATGAATAAAGAGCACAGCTAGGGGTTCAGGGTGATCTGGGTGTCAGGGAACAGCAGCCTGAAGAAAGGGAAGATCTTCCCCGGGAAGGAGGCCTGGAAAGTGTAGATGTGGTCTTTGGTGGCCGCGTCATAGAAGGTGACCTCCTTGCCCTCGAGATTCACGCTGACACCCACTCTTCTGGAGCAGATTGGGAGGTACTTCCATGAATCTCTCCCAGTGAGTGCCTGGCATTGGAATCTGGTGATGCGCAGCACCCAGAAGCCACTCGCGGGCTCCATGGCCAAGCTGCCCTGCCTTGGCACTTTTTCCCATGCCACGCCCACAATGCCAGCCGGACCCCTTGAGCCACTGAGCTCCACCTCCCAGGTATGTCGACCAGTGGAGAAGCCTGGTGAGCCCAGAACGCAACGGAACGGGTAGAAGCGCTGCTGCTCTACTGGAAATATTGAGTGGGTCTGAGGGATCACATTCACCATTTTCAGATCCTGGGAAAAGCTGAGATCAGGGTGGGCCGAGTCAACGTCAAACATCACAGGAGCTGTAGGAATAGGAGGCAAAAGAGGGTCAGCCCCGGGTCAAGTCCCCATGGAGAAGATTTTATCATGCGCGTCAGGTCCATGGGGACGGGTTCTGTGATCTGTGACCAGGCAGGCCTTAACTCCTGTGTGGGCTTCCACTCTGGAGGAGGGAGGGGGAGTGGGCACAACCGCAGGGACCTCGTGTGTCCAATAAAGGGCATCACGGCTCATGTGAAGACCAGAAGGCCAGTGTGATTGTGGCGTCTCCTAAGAATGAGTCCTTCCCTCCTGGGAGTCATGGAAACCTCCACCACCACCCTAACACCCTATCCCAGGAGCCCAGACGTTTTGCACCTGACACTCACTCAACTCCCATTGGAGCTCAGCAGTGCTGTCGGGACGGCGGGGGCTCCTAGTGTCCCAGGTGTTAGGGACTCGGCTGTTCCCTGGAACACAGGCAGGAGAGGCTCTGCTTCCCGGCCTGTTCAGTTCTGGCCTATCGCTGTTCTTCTTGGGTTGGAATTGACCTGGGGTGTGGGGAGTTGAGGACCGCAGGTTGGATGTTGGGTCATCTTTGACAGAACCGGAAAAAATAGCCAGGTCAGTGGGAGCAAGAAGGCAGGAATCCCCCCACTTCCTGCACAACTTCAAGGAACTGATTCCCAGGCTACCAGCTCCCACAGTTAGTGCAAATGGACAGAAACAGAGGAGAGTTTGTCCTCCCCCAACACACACAGCACCTCACATCTGCACACACCACCCGTGACACCTGACACCTTTTCAAGGGCTGTGGAACCCACAGCATCCCCTCCTCCATGGGCCTCCTCTTTCTGCCTCTCTTCCCTGTTTTCTGCTCTTTCCCTTTGCTCTCCACCTCAAGTTGGCACTGAGAACAGTCTTTGGTCCCAACAGCTATGGTGAGGGAAGGCAAAATCACAGATCCGCAGCTTCCTCTGCTGGCTGTGTCCACCTCTGCCTACGCACTGGCTTTTAATCACCCTCCAGCGGCACAGGCAGTCTCCTGTTTTCAAAACCAGACTCCTATCTGGGGTCACCGCTGTCTCACACTATGAGCTTCTGCACAATCACTCACTCAACACCTGCTGGAGCTCAATATTGCTCACGTAACGTCGTAAGTTCCCGGTTTCCCAGGTGTCGATGACTTGTGCATTCCTGGGAACAATGGAAAGAGAGGCTCTTCTTCGAGGCAGGTTGAATTCAGGGTTGGTGCTGTTTATCTCGAATTTGGATGGAACTCGAGGTTGGCTTTGAGCTGGGGTGTGATGAGTTGAGGATGCTGGGTAGGCTGTTTTGTCACCTTTAACAGAAGCAAAGGAGAAGAGCCAGGTCTGTGGGAGCAAGAGAACAGGAATCCTCCACCACTCACAAAAGCTCAAGGAGCTCACTCTGGTGCTACCAGATCCTACAGTCAGTGGAAAATGGGCAGGAACAGAGAGGGGAATGCAGGCCCAAACCACCCACATTTCATACCACCTGTGGGACCTGACACTTCTTCAAGGCCTGTGGAGGATACAGCATCCTCTCGTCCGCCAGCCTCTTCCCTCCACCCCTCACCCCTGTTTTCTGTGTCCACCTGGAACACACACCAGCTTTGTATCCCTCTTCTAGCCCCACAGGCAGTCTCCTGTGTTCAAGACCAGACTCCTACCTGGAGAGGCTGGCTCAGGCTGTGAACGTCTATCTGCATTAGCATTATTTTTCTCAAGCAGGAACACTAGGAATAGGAAAAGGAAAGCTGACTTCCATGTCTAAACTCAGAGGCTGCAAGGTATGCTAACACAAAGCCCTGTCCCATCCCACCAATCAGGAATAACTGCTGCCAGGGATTTCCAGGGCGCACGCACAGAAGTGTGAAAACCTTTCAGTTAGCCTCAGGTTCTGTAGGAGAGGGTCACTGTTGGCCTGTGCCACTAGGACCTGGGAGTGGGAAATACTGAATAACCACTGGAGGTGGAGCACCTAGTCATTGTCCTTCCAAGGGAGATCTCTCCTGGGATCATGCAGCTAAGACAGCAGAGAAGACCCTGGGACCAGCACATCTAAACCCATTCTTGTCTTCCCTGACTCTGAGCAAGGAAGAAACTAGTTGATGATTTTTTATTACTTTGGAATATTTTTGAATGACTGTGTGTTTCCTGTGTTTAACAGTATAAAATATTCCTCTAGGCCTGTTCTTCTCCCTTTGTGGGAGAATTCTCCCCTCTTCCCCTTTATGAGTCTCACTCTCCCCCAGGGGCAGGAAGCAGCTCTGCACCCGCACTTACCACTCTGCCTCTGGGTTGCACTCTTGTCTTGGAGAGTTTTGCTTTGGTGTTTCTTCCTGTTAGCCTGGAGCAGCTCTGGGGGTGGAGAACAGAAGACATGAGAGGCTGTGGAAGCTGAGCAAAGAATCCAGGGTCGCATCACAAGGCCCTGATGTGAAACCCCTGGGAGCAGTGAGCTTGAGTTGTCTTTCACATTCTCAGTACATGTGAGTCTCCCAGCCTTGCCGCCTGGTTATCTTAAAGTATCCGCACAGCCCAGCACTGTCCAGTGGACATCTGATTTGACCTGGAAACAGGAGCCACCCATTTTGTGGAACTTAAAAATTCGTGGGGACCAACACCATGTTGTATCAGGCTAATCTGCCACATTGGGGTATCCCATATGGACACAGATTCAAATACCAGCTGCTCCACTTCTGATCCAGCTCCCTGTCTATGGCCTGGGAAAGCAGCAAAAGATGGCTGAATGCTTTGGAGCCCTGAACCCACACGGGAGACCCAACCCAAAAGAAGCTCCTGTCTCCTGGCTCCCACCAACCCAGCTCTAGCTTGTTGCCATTTGGGCAGTGAACCTGCAGATGGACGATCACTCTACTTGCCTCTCCTTCATTCTTTGTGATTCTACCTTTCAAAAAAGCAAAAACAAATCATTTTACAAAACCACAGAGAAATGATATTATAAGATAAATTTGAATGAGATTCAAGTGCAGTGTTAAACATGCTTCTAAGGACACTTGATGCCTAGCTCTGTTTCCAATTGCAGCTCCCACTAACGGACACCGTGGGAGGTGCAGGCGATTGCCCAAATGCTTAAGTCCTACCATCCACATGGGAGACACAGACTGAGTGCTTGACTTCTGGTTTTTCCCTGGGCCAGTCCTGAATGTTGTAGACATTTAGTGAAGTGAATGAGTGGATGGAAGATTGCTGCTGTTTTTTCTCCAATTCTCTGCCTTTTAAACAATTTTGTTAGGTTTATTTATTTTTGTTAGAAGAGCAGATTCAGAGAGAGGAGGAGACATGGAGAAAAAGATATTCCAACTGCTAGTACACATCCCAAATAACTAAAACAACCAGAGCTGAGCTGATCAGAAGCCCAGAGCCAGGAACCTCTTCTGGGTCTCCCACATCACTGCAGGATTCCAAGGTTTTGTGTCTTCCTCTACTTCTTTCCCAGGCCACAGGTATTGAGCTGGATAGGAAGTGAAACAGCCAGGACATGAACTGGCACCCATATGGAATGCCAGTGCTTGCAGGCAAAGGACTAGTTAATGGAGCCATCACATTAGTTCCTTAGACAATTTTCAGGAAGTTCATTTTGGGTACCCCACACATTAGCCTAGTGGCTAAAATACTCTCTTTGCATGAGATCACATCCCATATGGGCGCCAGTTTGTCTTCTGTCTGCTCTACATCCCAACCCTGCTTGTGGTCTGGGAAACCAGAGGACAATGCGCAAGGCCTTGGGACCCTGCACCCATTTGGGAGACCCAGGGAAGCCCATGACTCCCGGCTTCGTATCAGCTCAACTCTGAACATTGTGGACACTTGGGGAATGAACCAACAGATGTAAGATCTTTCTCTTTGTCCCTCCTTCTCTCTGTAAGTCTTACTTTCCAATAAAAACAAATAAATCTTTAAATTTAAAACAATGTGACATTCCAATAAAAGTAAATCTTTTCTTTTAAAAAAATTCATTTTGGTTCAAACCATTTTGAAGTAGTTCTTCTCTCACACGTTTTCCATGAACATTTAAACATGCCTCATATAATTTTATTAAGGAGTTTTGTTGTTGTTGGAAAGGCAGATCAGATTTTACAGAGAAGAGAGACAGACAGAAAGGTCTTTCACCTACTGGTCCACTCCCCAAACAGCTGCAACAGCAGGAGCTGAGCCAAATTAAAGCTAAGAGCCAGGAGCCTCCTCTGGTTCTCCCACATTGGTTCAGGGTTGAAAGGCTTTGGCTCATCCTTTGCTGCCTTCCCAAGACATGAACCGCAAGCTGAATGGGAAGTGGAGCAGCCAGTACAGGAACCAGTGCCCATGTAGTATCCTAGCACCTGTAAAGTGAGGATTTAGCCTTTGAGTCATTGCACCACTGTAGGCCCCGGACTCCCAAGGGTTAACTCCACAGTTTAGCTTGTTTCTCAAGGTGTAACAGGATGGGCAATCTTGGCCTGATACATTTAGCCCCTGGCTTGACAGCAAGTTCCCTCTTCCCTGCTTCCCCTTTTTAAGATGCCATCAGGGGAGCTTAGGTGTTGCTTGAGCATTGGGAAAGTACTGGGAGGAGCCAAGCAGACTATAAAAGATGCAGATTGACTTTGAATAAATTGCCATTCTCTTCACAAGAATGACCCACAGTGCGTTGTCTGTTTTGTAACCCTAGTCCCTGTGCTCAGCTCGGGGTATGCGGCAATGCGGGCATTGCCGACACACCAGTCCCATGCATCATGGACTTTTACATTTTGCAGTATTGGAACCAGCATTGTGACACAGTAAGTACAGCTGTCTCTTCTATCCTCTTCTATCCTCTTGATGCTCTGCTTTTCAAAACAATCAACCCATCATTGAAATCATCTGTAATAATTAAAAAAACAAACAACAAAAAAAAGAAAATGGAGATTCCTAGATAAGTGGGGAACGGTTTTTATTTCTGGGAACATTACCCTCACCTTCCTTTTGCATTTAGTGCATGGGAGATTTGGAGAAGAGTGTGAGTATAGACAAGTACCGTGGGGAACAGAGCATGGGAGAAATGCTTGAGGCAGGCATGGCCAGCTGCATAGGCCCTGATGGGGGAAGGATGCGGTGATAGCCACTGACAGGAGAGACACTTCCAGGTGGGGGAACAGAGGCCCTTTCAACCTCTTCCTTACCTCCACATTTCCTTAGGTTCTTAATCACGGAGTCATGTCTGGACTTTGCTTCATTAAATTGTTGATCCAGGTCCAGAGGAATTGGGGTTTTGCTGTGAAATCGAACCTGAAACTCTTCACTCCTAGGAGAACAAGGCAGAACTGGATGGGGAGTCTGGTCTTTTGGCCCAGCCTTGTGGGGATGGAATCACAGCAGTGGGAGGGGGAGTGGCAGTGGGCATCAAGGGCTAGGGAGCCTTGAGTCAGGAAGCCAGCACTGATGATAGGCTGATGTGAGAAGCTGCCCAAGGAGACTTGGAAGTGAAGAAGAGAGGGGAAAAGCAGTGGGGCAAGGAGAGGGAACCCAGAGGCATCCAGCTGAACTGGGGACCTGCTCACAGCAGGAGGCCCAGGGAGATGGGGAAAACAGCTCAGGCCTCTGGCAGCCAACTCATTTGCTCAGCTCAGATTCCCTCATGCAGCCTAAGCCTCTGAATGCAAAGTCCCAGGGTGTGGGTGTTGGTGAGCAGGGAACACTGAGTGTATCTGAAGTTATGTTGAGTATTGATCCTTGACTGATTCAGGGGGCAGCATGCATGTGGACTGGTTATCATACCTTTTCAAGGTGCCTTTGATATCCTGAAAGAGAAAGACAAATAGCATGGTCTCAGCACTCGGCTGACTCACAGGGCGAGGAAGCATCCAAGGACACAAGTGGATGTGGGCAGAGCCAGGGGAGTGAGAATATCTCTGAGACTTACTTTCTCTCTCTCTCTGTCTCTCACTCTCTACTGTTCTCATTCTCCAAGAAGTGTTAGTATGGCTCTAAGTGGAGACATGGTTAGGCATCAAGAAGAACCATTGATGATCAAAAAGAGAATAACATTTTGCAAATGAGTTTTGTGTGGTACTTAACTTAATAGGGAAGCCCTATACCCTGGGACAGGAAAAAGATAGGAGTAACTTTGCATGAAATTTCTTGAAAAAAAAAAAAAAGGAATGAACATTTCAACCAGCACAGTGGTTTACAAAACCCAGAAGAAGCTCCTGACTTATGTCTGGCACAGTCCTGGCCATTGTGACCATTGGGAGAATGAAACAGTAATAGCAGGTCTCTCGTTTCCCTCTCTCTCTTGCCTTCTCTCTCTGTGTCTTTCCCTCTCTCTGTGTAACTCTGCCTTTCAAGGAAAAAAATAAGTACTTAAGAAAAGAATTTATTTTTTGCTAAATATTTTGAAGTCTCCTTATAATTTATTCATCGCATGGATTTTTCAAAATGGGTTATTTATTTATTTTTACTGGAAAGGCAGATTTACCAAGAGAAGAGCTATAAGGAAATACCATCCATCTGCTGGTTCATTCTCCAAGTGGTCACAACAGCCAGAGCTGAGCTAATCCAAAACCAAAATCCTTTTCTGCATCTCGCAGACCCAAGGCTTTGACGCATCCTCTGCTGCTTTCCCAAGCACATTAGCAGGGAACTGGACTAGATCTGAAGCAGCTGGGATATGAACCAGAGCTCATGTGGGATGCTAGAGGCAGTATCTTAACTCACTGAGTCACAAAATCAGTCACACAACATTTGAAAATAGTTTTCATCTATCTGAAAGGCAGAGATCCAGAGACAACTGAGAGATGTTCCATCTGCTGGTTTTCTCCCTGAATGCTCACACAGACAGTACTGAGCCAGGTAGCAGTCATGGGGGAACACAGTCCCGGTCTCCCTCACGGGTTGCTGGATCCTAGGACTAGCCACCTCACCTGCTTTTTTGCAGGGCCCACATTAGCAGGAAGCTGGGTGAGAAGTAGTGGTAGGGCTTTTACCAGGCACACCCACAAAGAACGTGGATTCTTCAAGTGCATAATATCCACTGTACCAAACACCTACCCTTTAGCATGCTGAAGCTCTTCCTATGTGACTTGCAATATATTTCTAAATTATACATGTGGTTCATGTTACATTTCTAAATTATGCTGGGCAGTAACTGACAGTATATTTCTAAATTATTTATGTGGGTTGCCTATTCTAAATCACACATGTGGCTCATACTACTATTCCAAATGACATATTACCATTTCAACTCTTTCTGCTGGATGGTGTGGCCCTAGAGGTAGTGTTGAGGATTCTGCCAGGCACAGGTGTGCTGGCCAGGCACAACCCTTGGGCTCTGTTTTGCAGTGATTCCACCCCTGAGAGACTCACCTGCAGCAACTGTCTGGGTGGCATCTGTTGCTTGGTCTTCAGGCAACCCATGAGATCTTTGAGAGAATTGAGCTGTGCCTGGATGGCAGTGTTGTAGCGCTCACACTCTTTGACTCCATGCTGAGCCTGCTGCTCGATGTTGGACAGGAGGAAGTCCTTAGTCTCCTCCAGCACTTGATGCAGGTGCTTGAATTCTGAGTGGATCCTTTGTTTCTCAACATCCACCTGGGCCTTGGTAGAATCACAGGGATACAGAGAAAAGAGATGCTCTCAACTGTCCTCCCACTGATGCTATTCCATTTTAATTTCTCTATTGATTATATTGAGTACCAATGTAGAACACAGTATAGACTTGAGAAGAGGTGAGAGCAAACTTTTTTATTAGTTTTGAATTTTATAGTACAATTCCATAGGGTCTGGGATTTCCCTGTCCCCTCCCCAAATTCTCACCCACAGACTGGTTTTCCTCATATTATTACAATAAGTCCTTCATAAGCAGTCATAATTCCATCAGTCTGTTATTTCAGTGTTCCATTACAGTGCTGGTAAAGATAATGTCAGAAAATCCAGCATCACATTATCTAGATATGTCTGAAAGTTTCATTGAGAGTCCATCATTGATTTGAAAGTAGAGATACATGCTGCACTGTATCTTTACATCTGGACATGATAGACCATTATGCCATCACTACACACTCCATTAAATGAGAAGCCACAAAACAAAGTCTACAACAATCACAAAGTTAAAACAAAAAATTTACAGCACCATGACGTTGAAAAATGCACCACTGAATAAGCAATGCATGGTGAAGATATGAAAAAGAAAATGCAAAGGCCTCTCGGGTAATATGACACCACTGTGTGATCCATGAGATAGCAATGAATTCAACAAGAGAAAAGAAACTATTTGGAAGAAATGAAAATAAAACTAAAAACATCAAAATACATAGGGTGCAGCAAAAACAGTATGGAAAGGGTTACTGATCTTGCAGTTTACATAAAGGCTGCCTTATGTCAGAAAGAATATATGATATTTGTTCTTTCCGGATTGACATCTCACTGAGCATAATGGTCTCTAGTTGGGACCATCTAATTGCAAATGGTAAAATTTCTTTCTTTCTTTTTTTTTTTTAACTGATTGAGTAATACTCCCAGGAGTTGATATACTACAGTTTTATTAACCACTCCTCTTTGGACAGACATCTGGGTTGTTTCCATGTATTTGATATTGTAGATTTTACTGCTGTGAATATAGGATTAGAGATCCCCTTCTCATATGCGGATTTCATTTCCTGTGGGCATATTTTTAGGAGCAGGATAGCTGGGTCATATGGCAAGTTTATTTGTAGTTCTCTAAGCATTCTCAATACTGATTTCCATAGTGGTTGTACTAGCCTACACTCCCACCATCAGTGAATGAGGGTACCTTTCTCCCACCATCAGTGCCAGCAGGTGTTGTTAGTAGAGTTCTGAATGTAGGCCAACTTCACTGGAGTTAGGTGGAACCTCAGTGTGGTTTTCATTTGTATATCCCAGACATCTAGGGAGCCTGAACATCTTTCATGTGTCTATTCATCATTTGAATTTGTTCTTTTGAAAAATGTCTGATCATTTCCTTCGCCCATTTCTCCACAGGGTTTTGCTTTTTGTTTTATATATTTTTTCTTTTTCTTTTTCTTGTTCTTCTTTTTTTTTTTAACTTTTCCTGGATTTCTGAAGCTCTTTGTAAATGCTGAATATTAGTCTCCTATCAGTTGTGTAGTGGGGAAAGATTTTTTTTCCCATTCTGTTTGTTGCTTTTTGATGTTGTTAATTGCTTCATTTGTTGTACAGAATATTTTAATTTGATGCAGTTCTATTTGTTTATTTTGTCTTTGACTGCTTTTGGCATCTTTTCCAAGAAGTCTTTCCCCATTCCTATATCTTAGAGTGCTTCCTATGTTTCTCTTTAATAGGTTGATGATTTCTGGGTGTAGATTTGGGTTGTTGATTCATTTAGAGCTGATTTTCATATGATGTTACAGGTGCAGGTCTTGCTTCTTACTTCTGCAAGCTACTATCCATTTTTCCCCACAGCATTTGTTGAAGAGACCAGACTTTTTGTCTGGATTATTTTCAGTTTTCTTGCCAAAGATTAGTTGACTCTACATGTGTGGGCTGCCTTCTGGTGTTTCTATCCTGTTCCATTGATCTTCTTCTCTGTTTCTGCACCAGTACCAGACTGTTTTGATAACCACTGCTCTGTAGTATGTCTTGAGGTCAGGAATTGTGATTCCTCCAGCTTGATTATGGTTCTTCAGGATAGCTTTCGCTATCTGTGGTCTCTTGTGTTTCCAGATGAACTTTTGTGTCTTTTCTATATCTGAGAAGAACGTTGTTGGGGATTTTGATTGTGATTGCCTTGAATCTGTATATTACTTTTAGTAATATGGATATTTTGATGATATTGATCTAGCCAATCCTGGAGCATATTAAGTTTTTCCATTTTTCACTGTCTTTTTCTTTTTTATTAATGTTTTATAGTTTTCATCATAGAGGTCTTCTACATAGTTAGTTAGTTTAATTCCTAGGTATTTAAGATTCCTCTCCAACATCTTGAACGGGACTGTGCTTACATATTTCTTCTCAGCCATGGAATTATTTGTGTACACTAGCACCACTGATTTATGTTTATTAATTTTGTATCCTGCTACCCTGCCAAAGTCTGTTATGATTTCCATTAGTCTTTTGACTGAGTCTTTTGGTTCTCCTAAGTAAAGAATCATGTCATCTGCAAATAGAGATAATTTCAATTCCTCATTTCTAATTGGGATTTCTTGAATTATTTTTCTTGCCTAATAGCTCAGTCAAAGACTTCCAATACTATACTGAAGAGTAGTGGTGACAGTGACATCCCTGTCTAGATCCAGATCTTAGTGGAAAAGCCTCCAATCTTTCCCCATTTAGTATGATGGAGTTTGGTTTTTTATACATTGCTTTGTGTTGTAGAGTGTTCCTTCTATGCTTATCTTATTTAGAGTTTTCAGCATGAAGTGGTGTTCAGTTTTTCAAATACCTTTGCTGCATCTATTGAGATGATCATATGGTTTTTATTTTTCAATTTGTTGATGTGATGTATCACATTTATTGATTTGTGGACGTTGAACCATCCCTACATGCCTGGGATGAATCCCATCTGGTTTGTGTGAATGATCTGCCTGATGTGCTGTTGCATCCTGTTGGCTAGTGTTTTGTTGAGGATCTTTGCATCTATGTTCATCGAGGGTATCAGTCTGTAATTCTCATTTTCTGTTGTTTCTCTGTCTGGCTTTGGCACTATGGTGATATTGTCATCACAGAAAGAGTTTGGAAGAATTGCCTCACTTTCTGTTTTTTGTTTTTGTTTTTTTTTTTTAAAGCTTGCTTCTTGATTCAATTTTGGTGGATTGAATGTGTCCAAAAAATCTATCCATCTCTTCTAGGTCTTCTGATTTGCTTACATGCTGTTACTTGTAATAGTTCCTAATAATTATCTCTATTTCTGAGATATCTGTATTATATTTCTTTTTTCATCTCTGATGTTATTGATGCACATCTTCTCCCTCCTTTTTTTGATAAGTTGGGATAGTGGGGATCTATTTTGATGATTTTTCTCAAAAACCCAGTGAACCAGCTCTTTGATTCATTGATTTTATTTATAGTTCTTTTGCTCTCTATTTGGTTTATTTCTTCCCTTACTTTTTTTCTTACTTGTCTTTGGATTGTTTTACTATTATGTTTCTAGTTCTTTCAACTGGAAGGTTAGCTTATTTACTTGGCCTTTTCTAGTTTCTTAAACGTAAGCATTGATTGAGATGGACTTTCCTCTTAATACTGCCTTGACTGTATCCCATAAGTTTTGATATATTGTGTTGATGCCTTCATTTATCTCAAGCAATTTTTAATTTCCCCTTTGATTTCTTCTCTAACCCATTGCTCATTTAGGTGCCTATTATTCAGTCTCCATGTATTTGCATGTCTTCCTTGGTCTTTTGACTTCATAGTCTCTGCTTTGACTCCATGGTGGTCTGAGAAGATGCATGATATGTTCTCAATATTTTAAAATCTGCTGAAGCTTGTTTTATGGCCTATAATATGGTCATTTCTGGAGAATGTTCCATGTACTGATGAAAAAAAGTGTATTCTCTGTAGGATGAAATGTTCAGTAGATATCAACTAAGTTCTTTTGTTTCATTTTTGAGTTTCTAAATCTCTATCTATCTGATGTAAAGGGGGTTATTAAAGTCCCCTACTATGATAGTATTGGAGTCTATTTCTCCCTTTAAATTCATTAATATTTTTGTCACATAGCAAGATGCCTTGGCATTTGGCATATATACATTGATTATGGTGATATCTTATTGCTGAATGGATCCTTTGATCACTGTGTGGTGTTCTTCTTCATCTCTTTTAATCTTTTTCAGATCGAAGTCTACATCATCTGATATAAGAATGGCTATACCTATTCATTTTTCCTTATCATTAGCTTGAAACATCTTTTCACATCCTTTCACTATAAGTTTCGACTTACCTTTGTTGGTGAGATGTGTCTCCTGTAGGCAACAAATAGAAGAGTTTTGGTTTTTGATACAGTCCTCTAATCTATGGCACTTGATTGATGAGTTTATGCCATTCACATTCAATGTTAATATGGACTGGTGGCCATTTGTTCCTGTCATTTTAGCAATGGGTTGTTCATTGATTTAGTTTTCTGTTGGCCTTTGACTGGGATGTTCTCCACATTTGCCTTTGGTTTGGGTAGGTGCTATTCCTTTTCTCTTTCAAGGGGACATCTCTGAACATCATTTGTAGGGCAGGTTTAGAAGAAGCAAATTCTGGGAGGTTTCCTTACTGTGGAAGAAATTTATTTCACTTACAATGACAAAGGAGAGCGTTTCAGGGTACGTTATTCTAGCGTGACAAATTTTTGCTTTTAGAATCTTGAACATGTCATTCCATTCTCTTCCAGACTGTAGCATTTACTCTGAGAGGTCAGGTGTGTGTTTGATTGGCATTCCTCTATAGGTCACTTGATTTTCTTCCGATGCAAATTTAAGGATATTTTCCTTATGTTTAACTGAAGGGAACTTAATTACCATGTGTCATAGTGAAGTCCACTTTTGATCAACTCTGTTGGGAGTTCTGTGTCCCTCATGGATGCTGTTTTTTAATTCTTTCTCCACATTAGGGACGTTTTTGTTTATTGTTTCATTGAATACATCTTTAGTCCTAGCTTCCCTTTCTGCACCTTCTGGAACTCCCATAACTCTTCTATTGGGCCTTCTAATCATGCCTTTTAATTCTTGGATAACTTTTAGCTCCACCAGCTCTGCTTGCAGCTTTTTGTTTGTTTACCCCTGGTGACAGGAAATATCTTCCAACTCTGAAATTCTTTTGCTTCATATTATTAAGAATTTCCACTCTATTTTTAATTTGCTTCATTGTGTTCTTAATTTCTAATATATTAGCTTTCATTTGATTCATTGCTGCTATTTCCTGTGTGACATATTCCTTAAATTCTTTGAATCCTGTATGTACTTCCCATTGTTGATAGAAGCTTTATAACAAGTATTCTGAATTCAAAATCCCCCATTTTCTCAATGTCTTCCCCAGTTAACTCTGAGAGTGGTAGAGGGTTGGTTCCTTTGCTGGAGAGTCTTCAGTAAGATTCATTGTGCCTTTATCTCTTCTTTTACATTTGATCATTGCTATTCTTGTTGGCAGGCTCTTCTCCATAGGGCTGGTTTCTAAGATGTGTTACCCACAGGTCTACAAGTTGGTTTGAAGCTCAAGTAATGTCCCAGAGTAGGAAAACATCAGCTGTCCTAAATAACTTGATTATTGGCAGCTCTGTTCTTGCTAACACCAGCTGGCCATTAAGTCTGAGGGCCACCTGAAGCTATTTTGGGTGCACCCTGTAGAGCGCCACAATGAAACTATTTTCTCTGAGGGACATACACAATGCACTAAGCTGAAAGTGATTTTGCTCCCAGTTTAGTGCTTGTGCAGCTCAGCTGTTGTCTCAGCAGTCCCCCAGTGTCTGGTTCCAATGAAAATGGCACCTGTTTGCTACTGATTTAGCACATGTGAAGTTACGTCTGCTCCTCCCGGGCTCCCCTCCCCCTCAGACTTTGCCCCTCTGAGCAAAATGATGCCTGACAGGGCACTGGTGAAGATCTGGAGTTGCTGGCTCTCAGATCCAGGTACCACACAGACCCTGCATGATGCAAAGCTGGCACTGTTTTCCCTATGGGATAAGCTCAGTGAAGTTAGCTCGAAATGAGCCTGCTCCAGACAATCCCTTCAAATCCGCACTCTTTGCACTACTACACAAAATGGTGTCCTATCTAGTCTAGCACTACCGACAGTCTGTGATGTGAGTTCTACCCTGTTGCTTAACTTCATCTTGGAGTCAACTGCTCCTTCTCTGCTCATTGTTGGGTCAAACACATCAGCAGGATGGGTAGTTCCTTGCCTGTGTTCACTTCTGAAGTTCTCGATCAATTCCCACACCTGGCTGCTGCAGATGCTCTGGCCACTACTGAATCTCTGGCCCCTACTGGGAGCCCAGATGGCCTGAGCCCAGATCACTGTTCTCTGGTTGCTGGTGCCTTATCCTGTCACTGCAACTCTGCTCCACCATCCCTCCTGCTACCCCTATGTGCATGTGTCTCAAGGTACTGCCATGCCAACTGCTGACATATCTTTTCCTGGGATCTGCCCCCTGGGTTTCACCCTAATGATTCTCTGTCATCACAAACCTGTCTGCACCCTATATCACCACATTGCTGACCAAGAACAAACTTTTTTTTTTCTTAAATGATTTATTTGAATGGCAGAGAAAGAGACAAAGAGAGAGAAAAGAGAGAGAAAGGAGAGAGAAAGATCTTTTCTTTGCTGGTTCACTCTGTGAATGCACATTACAGCTGAGGCAGGTCACGTTGAAAGCAGCAGCCAGGATCTGCATCCAAATCTCCCACATGTGTTCCAGGGCACAAGCACTTGTACCTTCTGCTGCTGCTATCCCAGGTGCATAGGTAGGTACCTGGATTAGAAATAAAGCAACTGGACCTCAAACAAGTACGCATATGGGCTGCTGGTGTCAAAGGAGGCAGGTTATCATACTGCACCATGATGTAGTCCCTGAGAATTTAAATTTAAAAGCATATTTAAATCACTTCTCATGGAAGTGTCATGGTCCAGCCCTTTAAGACATTGTTTGCAAGGAAAACATGTCATATTCGAGTGCTGGTTCAAGCACCAGCTGCTCTGCTTCTAATCCAGTTCCTGCAAATGCACCCTGGAAGACAAGAAAAAACAGCCCAAACACTGGACTCCTGCCACTGCATAGGAGACATGGATGAAGCTTAAAGTTCCTGGTTGCTGTCTGACCACCTTCTCACCATTGAGGCCATTGGAAAGTGAACCAATGAGTGGAAACTCTATCTGTCCTCTGCCACTCTCACTGTTACTCTTCCTTTCAAGTCTTTAATTTTTTTAAATAAAAGAACTTCCTTTGTGCTCGCTGCCACATTCTGCTATCATTTATGTCATCACTTTTGTTTCAAGAATTTGCCTAAAACTCATTTTCCTGAAGGTTGCTCAGTTTTAATATGCTTTCATGTAGTTTTTAATTTTTTCATTTGACACACCAAAATCAAAATAACACAGGGTGGGATTTTTCCTTACCATGAAGTGATTGGTCTTCTTGTCAACTTGAATCTTCATGTGTACCAGTTCCTGCTCCTTTTGTTCCAAGACCCCCACATGCAACTGGATCTGCTCCTGTGGGGAGAAGGTCCTTCAGTCAAGGCTCTGCCTGAATTCCTCTTGGGCTCCCGAGGGTCCCTGGTCTCTCCAGAGAGTGGATTTGAATTCCAGGGTGTCCTGGGAGTAAGTGTTAATTCATATCCCTTTCTCCAGCTTGGGGAAAGGGAGAAACAAGAACCTATGTGACCTAAAAAAGAAGAGGATTGCTATGCCTCTTTAGAGTAATGTTTGGATCATGCTTCAAGACTTTCAAAGAACTCCCCCAGAGCTTCCCTCTCACCTGTTGTACCAACAGTTTCAAGAGGTATGTTTGGAGTCTTCTGCTAATGGCCTGGGAAACCAGTGAAGGATGGCCCAACTTCTTGGGTTACTGCACTTATATGGCAGACCAGGAGTAAGGTACAGTCTTCTACTTGTGACTGTCTCAGCTCGAGCTGTTTCTGCAGTTGGTGAAGATGGAAGATCTTTCTCTCTCTTTCTCTCTCTCTCTCTCTCTCTCTCTCTCTCTCTCTCTCTTTCAAATAAATAAGCCTTTTTTAAAAAGATGTAATTTTGATTTGAAAGCTGAGGCATCTGAGGCTCAGAGAATCCAAACGATCCCTTGAAGGTTGCACAGTCAACTTAAAATCTGGACTTGAGCCCAAATTTTTTAATTATATTTTTATCTTATTTTTAATGTTGCTTATATAGTTGAGAGGGATGCATGCTTATGTGCATCTCTAAATAGGGTGGGAAGGGTCAAGATTATAGGAAGAGGGCAGTGGAAACTATATTTCAACTCTATTTTCTCCCTTGTCTGCTGGAGACAGTTAGTGGGGGTAAGGGAGAGAGCTGCTTTTTGATGTCAAAGTACATGAGACATGATGATGTCTTAGAGACCCCAATGTGGAGTCCATATCTTTTGGATGAGATTCTTGTGTCTTGGAGCCAATGCATGGCTTCAGAGACTAATCCTCCCCATTCAAGTAACAGCATTCCACATGGGAGCAGGTTCACATCCTGGTTGCTCAACTTCCAGTCCAGTTCTCTGCTTATGGTCTGGGAAAGCAGAGGAGGATGACCCAAGTCATTGGGACTCTGTACCCATGTGGGAGATCTAAAAGAGTCTCCTGGCTCCTGGCTTAGGATCAGCTCAGCTCTAGCAATTACAACCATTTTTGGGATGAACAGTTTATGGATCATCTTTTTCTCCTGCTTATCTACCTTTAAAATAAAAATAAATAAATCTTCTTTTTTAAATTAGTGGGAGGTCTGAAATGATGGCCTAATTGGCTAATCCTCCCCTTTCAAGCACCAAGATCTTCTATGGCTTTCATTTTGTGTCCTGGCTAGTTTATCCAGCTCCCTACTTCTCACCTGAGAAACACCAGAGCACAGTCCAAAGCCTTTGGGACACTGCACCCAATTTAGAGACCCACAGGAAGTTCTTGGGTCCTGGCTTCAGATTGGCTCAGCTAGGACTGGAGCAGCATTTGGGGAGTGAACCAGTGGATGGAAGAGGCTTTCCCTCTCTGTCTCTCCTTCTCTCTGTAAACCTGCCTTTCCAATAAAAAATAAGCAAATAAATATTTTTTAATCTGTTCTTTCCATCCTCCACTATTCCCTTGTTGGCAAGGACAGTAGTTTCCTAGACTAGAACCAGGAGCTCAGTGGACCTGGTTAGGTAGAACCTGCAGGAGCCACAGGGAACAAACCCACAGGAAGGAGACAACAGTTTGCATATCTCCACCAATGTCTGATCAGCAAAGGGGAGTCCACATGCCTACCTGGTGATGCTCAACAGCTTCTTCTATCAGACTTGCTTTATGGGATTTGTGTTCCTTAGAGTCATGACACACCAAACAGAGAAGTTCCCCATCTGCTTCACAAAAGTAGTGTAGCGTCTCTCCATGCTTTGGACATCTCAGCCCTTCTTCTTTCAACTGCCTCTTGAATCCAATTTTCTGTAGCAGCTTTGCCAACAGGCGGTTGGGTTTATATGAGAACTTCTTCATAGAACTTTTGCAGAGTGGACATTTAGAACCTTCCTTAAGCTGAGTGATGCAACCTTGGCAGAAGTTGTGCCCACACTCAATGGTGACAGGGTCTTGCAGAATGTTCCGACAGATGGGGCATTTCATTTCCTGCTGCAGGTCTGTGGAAACCCATTGGTTGGCCATCGCAGAACATCCAGGCTGGTCCTTGTCTGTTGAAATCTTGTAAGTTGGCAATGGGCACCAATACCGGAAGGATGAAGGAAAGAAAGCAGGCAGAAGTCATAGAGTTTGTCAATCAACCATGAGAGCAGCATGGGAGGAAAAGAAGAGGGAGAAAAAGGTGATCCATAGGAGTAAGATTTTCAAACCAGTGAGCATTCTGTAGAGGGGAATCAGAAGGACAATCCTCTCGAGTCACGGCTTAGGAAAAAATGACTACTGAGAAAGCATATTTCCTGATTATGAATAGGTTAAGTGGTATTGAACCTTGGACTGGTTGAGTATAAGGCAGATAACTGGATCGGAAGGGCCAGGGCAATAAATTCCAGTCACAGAGGACTTTTAAACAGCGTTAGGAAGAGGGTGAAGCAGATGGGTGGCAAGGCTTAGGACATCTCCTACAGGTGGAGCCAAACCCAGAGAGAGAAAGAGAGAGGGAGGGAGAGAGAGGGAGAAAGAAAGAAAGAAAGAAAGAAAGAAAGAAAGAAAGAAAGAAAGAAAGAAAGAAAGAAAGAAAGAAAGAAAGAAAGAAAGAAAGAAAGAAAGAAAGAAAGAAAGAAAGAAAGAGAGAAAAGAAAGAGAGAAAGAAAGAAAGAAAAGAAAGAAAGAGAGAAAGAGAGAAAGAGAGAAAGAAAGAAAGAAAGAAAGAAAGAAAGAAAGAAAGAAAGAAAGAAAGAAAGAAAGAAAGAAAGAAGAGAGAAAGAAGAGGGAAGAGAGAAAGAAAAAGAAAGAAAGAGGGAAGGAAGAGAGAAAGAGAAAGAAAGAAAGGAAGAGAGAGAGAAAGAAAGAAGAAAGAAAAAGAAAAAGAAAGAAAGAAAGAAAGAAGGAAGGAAGAGAGAAAGAAAAAGAAAGGAAGGAAGAGAGAAAGGAAGAGAGTAAGAAAGAAAGTAAGAAAGAAGGAAAGAAAGAAAGAAAGAGAAAGAAAGAAAGGAAGGAAGGAAGGAAGGAAGGAAGGAAGGAAGGAAGGAAGGAAGAAAGAAAGAAAGAAAGAAAGAAAGAAAGAAAGAAAGAAAGAAAGAAAGAAAGAAAGAAAGAAAGAAAGAAAGAAAGAAAGAAAGAAAGAGACACAGAAAGAAAGAGAGGAAGAAAGAAAGAAAGAAAGAAAGAAAAAGAAAAAGAAAGAAAAACATACCAGGGAGGAGGAGGGAAATTACGGCTGCTGCAGGTAATGAGGCTCCTCTTTGAATCCTCAATCTTTTGAAAACATGGAAGATACAATCACCATCACAAACCATTCCTCTCTTGAGGGATTCTCAGTCAAATGGAAGACACAAGAACTTCCTTTCTGTTTTTGTTTTAATTTATTTTGTTTTGTTTCAAGATTTATTTTATTTATATCTGAGATAGTTACAAAGAGAGTAATGGATAAACTAAGGGAGACGAAGATCTTCCTTCTGCTGGATGGCCCACAGGATGACCACAATGGCCAACACTGAGCCAGTCCAAAGCCAGGAGTCAGGAGCTTCCTCTAGTTTTCCCACATAGGTGCACAGGCACAAGCACCTGGACCATCCTCCACCACCCTCCCAGGCACATCAGCAGGGTGCTGGTGTAGCACCCAGCACACAACTTGGCACCCACATGGGATGCTAGTGCTCTAGGCAGAAGCTTGTTACTCCACTGCACTGACCCCAGGAACTTCCTTTCTCAAGATCATTCTGATTTCCACAATATTCCTGAACCTGGTGGAGCTCTTCCTGATGCACACCAGCTACAGCTATATACTCTGTGGAACTTTCCCTGTAAGGCTAAAATTGCGTGTGTGTGTGTGTGTGTGTGTGTGTGTGTGTGTGTGTGTGTAATGATTCTTCTGTGTTTCTTCCCTTTTCTTATTGACTCTGATTCCTGACTTGCTTTTCCTGTAGTTTTTGTCCTAAATGTAAAACAAGAAGCACACTGATCATTTGTATCTGATGCTTATCTCAGGTCAACAGGGATGGTGAATGATTTTATGATCATACACAGGCCATACATTCCACCTGGTTTTCCCTTTGCCCTGGTGTAATGATTAACACTATCCCTCTTCCTTTCTCAAGTGTCCTCTTTAAATGATAAATTGCGTGACTTCGCAATCACAACAGCTGTTGGAAGTCAAAGGCTTTTGGAAATGTTCTACTTCAAGCCACTCTGATTGCTTTAAGGCTGAATTAAAGCAGTGCTTTGTAACCTGTACTCAACCAAACTGCTGCTCCCTAGAGACAGAATTTAACTTTTATTCAGGTCTCCTATGATCGACATGGCGATGTAAGAAATGGACATTTGAATGCCTTTAGGAGGGTGCTTGCCTCCCCACCACTCTATTACCCTGGGTCTCCCTGTCTGCAGGCATCTTCCTGTCTATGGCCCTGATTTACAGATTTCCTTTGAGTCTCTTCTGTGGGAAAATATCTCTACCCATCCTCAGGGAAACTAAGTACCATATGACCTGAAACCCTTGCTAAAGCTCAGATTGGTTGAGCCTCAGAGTCAGTGTGAAAATCTGATAATTACCTTCTAAATTCTTACTTATATTCTAGTTTTTCAGTAGAAAGGCAGGGAGAAAGCAAGAGTGAGAGCAAAAGAGAGAGAGACAGAGAGACAGAGACAGAGACAGAGAGAAACATACAGAGAGAAAATCTTCATCCTCTGGTTCACTCCCCAAGTGCCCACAATAGCCTCGCTGTTGAGCCAAGCTGGATCCAGGAACTAAGACCTCAGCACAGGACTCCCACATGGGTGACAGGACCCAAAATATTTGAGCATCACCAGCTCTCTTCCAGGTGTGCACATAAACAGGAAGCTGGATTGGAAATGGAAGGGCTGGGACTCCAAGTAGTGTGTCATACACAGATACAGGCATCTAGCAAGTGACTTCACCGCTGTCCCATAGACCCACTTCTCCAGGTGGCATACAAGCAGCTTGACTTGATTAGAAGAGAAGGGAGGACTGTGTCCTCAATCTTGAGCTCAAAGACTCCAGGCGCCAGAAAGCATAGACAGAACCTGCGGGCAATTATCTGCATTTGGACAACAGTCCAAGGCCACAGAACTGTGTGCATTAAGAGTAACTTAAGACAGCCGTGTGCTGGTATTTGTACTTGGTTCACTCTGTTTCCTGATGATAAATCATTAGCTGATGATAGTATGGGGTGTGACAGTCAAGGTCTGTGCCATGTCAATTTCTGTAATTTGACCCCCCCAAGTAATTCAATACAAAGCTGATACAGTGACCTAATAGGTTTCCATTCTCTTTTGAAGAAGGCATGCCTCTTCTAGCTTTACTGACAGTTTGTTTTTATTTGTTTATTTTCACTTTTTTTATTTTTTAAAGATTTATTTATTTTATCGGAAAGGCAGATGTAGATGTACGGACAGAAGGAAAGAAAGAGAGGAAGATCTTCCATCTGATGATTTACTCCCCAAGTGGCCGCAAAGGCCGGTGCTGCTCAACTCTGAAGCCAGGAGCCAGGAAAGTCTTTCTGGGTCTCTAACATGGGTGCAGGGTCCCAAGGCTTTGGGCCGTCCTTGACTGGTTTCCCAGGCCACAAGCAGGGAGCTAGATGGGAAGTGGATCTGCTGGGATTGGAACTGACACCCACATGGGATCCTGGCACGTTACTGGTTAAGGTGACCTTAATCATTACGCTATCATGCATGGCCCAATTTTTATTTATTTATTTTTAAAGATTTATTTTACAATTATTGGAATGTCAGATTTGCAGAGAGAACGAGAAACAGAGAAATGTTTAATTCGCTGGTTCAATCCTCAATGGTCACAATGGCCAGAACTGAGCCGTCCAAAATCAGGTACCAGGAGATTTTTCTAGATCCTCAAAGCCATGCAAGGTCCCAGTGCTTTGGGATGTCCTCTACTCCTTCTCAGACCACAAGCAATGAACAGGGTGGGAAGCAGGATTTCGGGATATGAACTGGCACACATATGGGATCCTGATGTATGCAAGACAGGGACTTTCACCACTAGGATATCGTTCCGGGTCCAACAGTTCATATATTTTTAAAAGATTTTTTTTTATTGCAAAGTCAGATATACAGAGAAGATAGGAGACAGAGAGGAAGATTTTCCATCCTAATGTTCACCCCGCAAGTGACCACAATGGCCACTGCTGAGCTGATCCAAAGCTTGGAGCCAATAGCCCTTAGGGTCTCCCATGCAGGAGCAGGATTCCAAGGCATCGGGCTGTCATTGACTACCTTCCCAGGCCACAAGCATGAAACTGGATTGGAAGCAGGACCAACAGGACAAGAACCAGCCCCCATATGGGATCCCGGCACATTCAAGTTGAGAACTTTAGCCACTAGGCCACCTTGCCAGAACAAATAATTCACATTTTAAACACTAGGAGATGGCAGTGCTGCCAATGGAAGCCTGCATGTTGAGAACCATTGGGTGTGTGATTGGTGGTGTTGTACAAGAGGTAAAGCAGTGATGCCAGGATCTCATGTGGGCACCAGTCCACTTCCCAGCTGCTCCACTTTCAATCCAGCTTCCTGCTAATGACCTGGAAAGAGTGGCAGAAGTCAGTTCAAATTTTGGGGCCCGCCGCCCTTGTGGGAGATCCAGAGGATGCTCTTGATTCTTGGCTTTAGCCTGGCCTAGCCCTGACCTTTGTGGCTATCCAAGGAATGAACCAGCAGATGAAGAGGGAAGATTGTGTGTGTGTGTGTGTGTGTGTGTGTGTGTCCTTTCTCTATTCCTTTCCCTATTCCTTTTCCTCCCACCTCTCTCTTCCTAAAACTCTGTTTTTTGAACAAATGAATCTTTTAACAGAGAGAGGAGAGAGAAAAAGAAAACATTTGTTTAGGAACACCCCTGATTGCTCCAGCCCATCCATCCAGTAAGTGACAGAGATAAGAGTCAGTCACAGGCTTCCCACCTTACTCTAGGCGCTCTTTTGGATCCCTGATACTCACATGGGGGACCAGAGGGGGAGACTCCTGTTTCCTGGGTTTGCACAGGCCTGACT